CCCTCTTGCCCTCCCGCCCCGCCAGCAGCTCTCGCTGCGGCCCGGCGCCCCCCGAGCCTTCGGCCTCGTTGTCCTCCTCCTCGTCCTCCTCCTCGTCCTCCTCGTCCTTGTCCTCATGGTCTTCATCCTCCTGGTCCTCGTCCTCGTCCTCCTGGTCCTCGTCCTTGTCCTCCTCGTCCCTGTCTCCTCCTCGTCCTCCTGGTTCTCGTCCTCCTGGTCCTCGTGGTCCTCGTCCTCCTGGTCCTTGTCCTCATGGTCCTCGTGGTCCTCGTCTCTGTCTCATCCCTCCTCGTCCTCGTGATCCTCGTCCTCGTGGTCCTCGTCCCTGTCTCGTCCTTGTCCTCCTCGTCCTTGTCCTCCTGGTCCTCGTCCTCCTCGTCCCTGTCTCGTCCTCCTCCTCCTCCTCCTCCTGTCCTCCTCGTCCTTGTCCTCATGGTCCTCGTCCCTGTCTCGTCCTCCTCGTCCTCCTGGTCCTCGTCCTCCTGGTCCTCGTCCTCCTCCTCCTCGACCTCCTGGTCCTCATCCTCCTTGTCCTTATCCTCCTCATCCCTGTCTCGTCCTCCTCCTCCTTGTCATCTTCCTTGTCCTCCTGGTCCTCGTCCTCCTCGTCCCTGTCTTGTCCTCGTCATCCTCCTTGTCCTTATCCTCCTCATCCCTGTCTCGTCCTCCTCCTCCTTGTCCCCCTCGTCCTACTGGTCCTCATCCTCCTTGTCCCTGTCTCATCTTCGTGGTCCTCGTCCTCGTCCTCCTCGTGGTCCTCTTCATCCCTGTCTCATCCTCCTCGTCCTCCTCATCTTCCTCGTCCTCCTGGTCCTCGTCCTCCTCATCCCTGCCTTGTCCTCCTCATCCTCATTCTCCTCCTCTTCCTCGTCCTCTTGGTCCTGGTCCTCGTCCTCCTGGTCCTCGTCCACGTGCTCCTCCTTGTCCTCATCCCCCTCATCCCTGTCTCGTCCTTGTGGTCCTCCTGGTCCTCGTCCTTGTCCTCGTCCTCCTCATCCTCCTGGTCCTTGTCCTTGTCCTCCTTGTCCCTGTCTAGTCCTCCTTGTCCTTGTCTCGTCCTCCTTGTCCCTTTGTCCTCACTCCTTCGTCCTCCTCATCATCTTCATCCTCGTCCTCATCCTCCTCGTGCTTGTTCTCACCCTCATCCTCCTCGTCCTGCTCATCCTCGTCCTCACCCCCGTCCTGGCCCCGTCCCCGCAGGGCGACGGGCTGGAGCTGGAGTACGAGATGGTGCTCACCAATCCTCCTCATCATCTTCATCCTCGTCCTCATCCTCCTCGTGCTTGTTCTCACCCTCATCCTCCTCGTCCTGCTCATCCTCGTCCTCACCCCCGTCCTGGCCCCGTCCCCGCAGGGCGACGGGCTGGAGCTGGAGTACGAGATGGTGCTCACCAACGGGAAATCCTTCTGGACCCGGCACTTCTCTGCTGACGAGTTCGGTGCGTCCTCAGCCCGGGGGGTCGGGGGTCTGCAGTGCAGGGGGTTTG